ACCAATCTTGTATCCCTGGAGTAAACTTCACTGTTCATAGTCATGTTTGATTTATTTATTTATGTATTTATGTATGTATTTATTTTTGAATCCGTGTCTCACTCTGTCACCCAGGCTGGAGCGCAATGTCAAGGTCTTTGGACTTCAGCCTTGATCTGCTGGGCTCAGGGGATCCTTCTGCCTTAGCCTTCTAATTAACTGGGACTATAAGTGCATACCACCACATCCGGCTAATTTTTGATTTATTGTAGAAATGAGGTCTTGCTATGTTTCCTAGACTGGTGTCAGACTCCTGGGCTCAGGTGGTCCTCTTGCCTCAGCCTCCCAAAGTACTGGGATAACAAGCGTGAACTGCCACACCCGGCTATAAATGTTTTTATATATTGTTGATTTCTATTTGCTAATATTTTGCTAAGGATTTTTGCATCTGTAGTTTTGAGATATATTGGTTTGTAGTTCTCTTTTTCAGTTGGTTCTTTGGTTTTACTATTAGGGTACTAATACTAACTTCATACAATGAATTGGGAAGTGTTCCCTCTTTTAATTCTCTGGAAGAGATTTAATTCTCTGGAAGAGAACTGATGTTAATTCTTGTTTAAATATTAGATAGATTTCTCCAGTGAAACCATCTGGGACTGTATATATTTTGGGGTTTTTAAAATTAAGTATCAATTTCCTTAGTAGTATAGGTCTATTCAAATGATGTATTTCATAGTGAGTAAGCTGTTGTTTTTCAAGAAATTTTCCAGTTTCATCCAAGTTGTCAAATTTATGTGTGTAGAGTTGCTCATGGTAATCTATTATTTTTACATTTGATTTCTGTGGGTATATAGTGGTATCCTCTGTGTAATCCCTGATTTTGGTAATTTATGTTTTCTTTCCTTTTTTATCAGTCTTGCTAGAGATTTGTCAATTTATTGATATTTCAAAGAGACAAACCTTTATTTGATTGATTTTCTGTATTTTCCTGTTTTTCAGATTCATTGATACCTGCTCTTATCTTTATTATTTCCTCCCTGAATTTGAATTTATTTTGCTTCTTTTCTGAGTTTTTGAGGTTGGAGCTTATACGATTAGCTAGTGTTTGTATTTAATGGTATACATTTCCTTCTCAGCATTGCTTTAGCTGTGTCCCACACATTTTGACATGTTGTATATTCATTTGCATTCAGTTCTCTCTCTATGTATACATTTTATTTTTATTTTTTATTGCCTTTTAAATAATTTTAAGGAAACTAAAATGGTGGTTTTTTAATTTTTAATTTTTTCTTTATTTTAAATATGTGGGGTACAATTCAGGTTTTTGTATACAGATGTTCATTGTGCAGGTACCCTTGCTGATGAGGTGTGCACCTTCCTCCTCTGGCAGTTTCCCTCTACTGCCAATCCCTTTATGTATACATGTTAAGAGATGAAGTCTTTGTTGCTTAGGCTGGAGTGCAGTGGTTATTCCCAGGTATAATAATAGTGTACTGCAGCCTTGAACTCCTAGCCTCAAGTGATCCTCCTACTTCAGCCTCCCAAGCACCTGGGCATGCTCTACTATGTCCAGCTTCAATGTATTTTAAAAAAATTACCCTTGAGACTTCCTCTCTGTCCCCTGATTATTTAGAAGTGTGTTACTTAGTTTCTAAGTGTTTGAAGATTTTTCTGTTATCAATATCTTGTTTGATTCCATTATGGTTAGAGAATACTTGTATAATTTCAGTCCTTTAAATTTATTGAGGTTTGTTTTATGGCCCAGGATATGGTCTACCTTGGTATAGACAATTACAGTATAATTGTCAACAGCTTTATATGTGTACCTGAATTTTTGGCATTGAATTTAAATGAAATGAAACAGTGGCATGGTTTTATACTTTCAGCCATGTTCAGCTGCTTGGTGCAGATGGGAGTAGAGAGCTTGATCTAACTATGGATGGATGTAGCTTCACTGCATGAGTAGGACAGAGTGAGCAAGGGGTCAGGGAATTGAAGGTAGATGAAAGTGGTCAGAATAGCTGACCACAGAATTGAATCTGGGTAAAGAGAGAAGAGAGTATTTTGGGCAGGGTTGGCTGGTGAGGGAGTAAAAAGGCGGTAGGATCAGAGGGTTGTAGGTCTTGATGGATTGAGAATACTGGGGAATGAGCTGGAAGAATAGGACATGCTTCATGTCACCAAGCAGCATGCATGAAATGGAGACTATGGAAGGATTGTGGGAGTGAGCAGCTAAGGTAAGGAGGAGGGCTGACTCATCAGAAGAGAGGAGGGCAAGGTTCCTGAAACCAAGAGGGGTACTTGTCTTGTATAGAATGAGCTCTAGAGCTGGGAGTTAAAATCATTAAGAATTAGGGGCATGACCTTAGAGTTGGTGTGGATGAAAGTAAGTTAGGAGGTGATGGCTAAAGATATGAGAATCAAAGCTAGAGATATTTAGCGGGAGGGATGGGGAAAAGTCTGGACGGGGCAGTGAAGATGATAGATAGCTCTGCCTTCTTCTGACTCATTAGTGCAAGGATATGGGGGGGAAAACAGCTGTTATTTAAAAGTGTAGTAAGGAAAGTGTGTCTTTAAGGGAGAGCTAGGTTTCAGTTACAAGAAAGTGAATGGTGAAAGAAGCAATTTGTGGCTGGATGCAGAGACTCACACTTGTAATCCCAGTACTTCGAGAGGCTAAGGCAAGAGGATTGCTTGAGCCCAGGAGTTCAAGGTTCAAGACCAGCCTAAGCAGCATAGTGAGACCTTGTCTCTACTAAAAAAAAAAAAAAAAAAGAAAGCCAGATGTGGTGGTGCATGCCTGTGGCTGGGGCTATAGATATGCACCACCACACCTGGCTAACTTTTTGATCCTTTTTGTAGAAATAGGACCTCACTGTGTTGCCCAGGCTGGTCTCAAACTCTTGGGCTCAAGTAATCCTCCCTCTTGGACCTCCCAAAATATTGAGATTACAGGTGTGAGCCACCACACCTGACCAGAAGGATTTCATAAGCATTCTCACTCCTATCAACTTGTGTCCTTTTAAGATACATGATTATCCCAAAGCCCAAATGTAGAAAAGCAGTTCTTTTGAAAGTCAAGTTTAGTTTGTTGGCTCCCAGTTATTTTAATTTTAAATTTTATTTTCAAACATGTTCTTATATACTTTGACAAGAAAATTAAATGTATCAGAGAAGTAGTAATTTATGAATTCCTGAAGTATAACTAAGTTGAAGTAACAAATGTAAGAATTCTTCTCTGAAATTCTGTTAGTGGTTTTCTGAGTAATGCATTCATTTGTAGGTCCTGTTTATTTCTCTTTTCTTCTAGTTAAAAATTTCAAGGAGTCCAACTATTGAAAATGTTTTAAGAGAGTTTTACTAATACTTATTTTTCTACCAACTTACTAAGTTATTTTTCTTGGAGACTGTTCAGTACAATTGAGACCAGATATTTCTTTTTTCTACACAAAATAGATGTCAGTAGTGATACACAAAACCTAGTATATTCACATAAACAAAGAGTTGTCTGTTAGATTGTTAACTTGTCTGAATGCACTCCTTTGTGAAAGCCCTGAAATGACTTGATTTAACTTTACTCCTATTAAATAATTTACTTTAATTTGATATACTTTAAAATATTATCTGAATATATTTAGATCTCACATGATAGAGTTCTTTTTTTTCTTTCTCGTAAGTATAATAGATGTCCTTGAAGTTCTTCAACAGGTACATTAGATTATAAATTAGAAACTATTAAATTTTGACAGAAGTTCACTTAGTTTTCAAGTTCCAGTTTCTGATTCTCCTCCTTTAGGAGTTTTATTCTTTCTTTTTCCTAAGGATGCTTTTTATTTTATTTATTTATTTATTTGTTTATTTATTTTTGAGTTGGAGTCTCACTCTGTCGCCCAAGACTGGAGTGCAGTGGCCGCTCCCGGCCACCGCAGCCTCGACCTGCTGGGCTCCGGCGATCCTTCTGCCTCAGCCTTCCAAGTAGCTGGAACTACAGGCGCATGCTACCACATCCGGCTAACTTTTTGATTTATTGTAGAGATGAGGTCTCGCCAAGTTGCTCAGGCGGGTCTCGAACCTGCGGGCTCAGGCAATCCACTCACCTCAGCCTCCCAAACGTGCGGGATTATAGGCTGAGCCACCGAGCCTGGCTAAGGATGCTTTTTAAAAAAAATTTGGGAGAGAGCATCTTCTAGTTCACATATCACCTAGAAATAATGTCTACTGTCTCTTGAATTTGTTATATTGTGTTGAAAGTATTTAGGTCCAAATTCCATATCTTTTTTTTTTTTTTAACCTACCTGAGCCAGAATCAGCTACTTATCTTTCTGTTCTGGGGATGGGGCAGTGTCTGAACAAGGATGACTGTAATCCATTCTCTCTCTCTTTCTCTCCCTATTTTGAGTAGGAGTGTCACTCTGTCACCCAGGCTGGAGTGCAGTGGCACCATCACAGATTACCATAGCCTTGACCTCCTGGGCTCAAGCGATCTTCCCTCCTCAGCCTCCCGAGTAGCTGGGACTACAGGTCCCAGCATGCATGCCATCATGCCCAGCTAATTTTCGGATTTTTTTGTAGAGATGAGGTATTACTATGTTGCCCAGGCTGGTCTCAAACTCAGCCTCAAGTAATTCTCAGGAATTGCTGAGATTACATGCATAAGCCATTCATCAGGCCTCCACTTTTTTTAATGGAGTAAAAACAGGAGATGGGTAAGGGCTGTGTGTGGACTTGGCTATTGTGACCTAAAGTTAGGCCCTTCTCTTTTCTTTGTTGTCAGGCTATGTAATGCTGTAGGTCCTTTATGCTGCTTTGGTTGTTACTATCTGGCAAAGCAATTGCTATCTGATGAATAAGCGACTAAGAAGAAATATAACTGATTGTTGGCTGTTGAGACTTAATAACTAGTCCTCAAGAGAACAGTTTAGGAATTTATGCTTAGTGAAAAATTTAGGTATGTTTGCTTTTAGCGTGGGGGAGATAAAGTTGGAGGTTTCGGTTTAATGTTTTTTATTTGTTTATTTCAGTTGCATCACAGACTGATTCGCCAAGCCAAACTGTACTCAACTCAGATGTTTCTACCCCAAATATGAATGCTCTAACACATGAAAGCCAAACCAAACCTTCTGTTTCCCAAATCAGTACCACTCTCCCTCCCACGACAAGCACAGAGAAAAGTGGAGGAGCATCTATGGCCCCTCACCCCTCACCTACTACTTCTCTATCTCAAGAGGAAGCTGACAACAATGAAGATCCTAGTATAGAGGAGGAGGATCTTCTCACGATCAATAGTTCTCCGTCCACAGCCAAAGATGCTGTGGACAATGGAGATTATGGAGAACCAGACTACGACTGGACCACCGGCCCAAGGGACGAGGAGTCTGATGAGACCTTGGAAGAAAACAGGGGTTACATGGAAATTGAACAGTCGGTGAAATCTTTTAAGACCCCATCCTCAAATGTGGAAGAGGAAGATAGCCATTTCTTTTTTCATCTTATTATTTTTGCTTTTTTTATTGCTATTGTTTATGTTACATATCACAACAAAAGGAAGGTAAGTTTGGAGTTTTTTTGCCCTTCTGGTTGTTTTTTATTATTTCAGTCATATTTCCTGTTAATGCTATTGTTAATTCAGGATTTTCTCCTTTTTTTAGTCAAGTTTAAGTTGATGGTAAAATATTGATATGTCTAATCAGTTTATAAATCTGTTGTGTTTTGTTTTTTTTTTTGAGTTGGAACCTCACTCTGTTGTCCAGTCTGGAGTGCAGTGGCCGCTCCTGGCCACCGCAGCCTCGACCTGCTGGGCTCCGGTGTTCCTTCCATCTCAGCCTTCCAAGTAGCTGGAACTACAGGCGCGCACTACCACGCCTGGCTGAGTTTTTGATTTATTGTAGAGATGAGGTCTTGCCAAGTTGCCCAGGCGGGTCTCGAACCCATGGGCTCAGGCAATCCACTCACCTGAGCCTCCCAAAGTGCAGGATTACAGGCTGAGCCACCAAGCCTGCTCTGTTGTGTATTTTAATAAATTATAGATAGACTACCTGATTATATGTGCTTCTTTTTTCTTTAAACTTTTAATTTTTTTTATTTTAAAGATGTGGGGTACAAATGTTCAATATGCAGTTACCCTTGTTGATGAGGTATGCCCCCGCTTCCCCAGGCAGATTCCCACTACTGCCAATCCTGCCTCCCCACCTCCCCCCGTCGACTATATGTGCTTCTAAAAAAACAGTAGTCAAATTATTTCTTAAGGAATAGTACCAAAGCTCAGTGATTTAAAAAAAAAATGTTTTATGTCTTAATTTAGCATCACTACTTCAGTGGGAATACTTGTGGAGAGAGTATTAATTTAATGCTTGTCTTTTAATTTATTAAGCATTGAATTTAATTATTTTTTTTAGTAACTTTTTTCCTGGCTATAAAGTATTACATGTTTACTTTAGGGAATTTAGAAAACACAGAAGAATTTAGAAAAGAAAATTTAAGCTACTAAGCAGAGCATTGTTAACATTTTGGTATATTTCTGGTCTATAAATATGTATATAATTCATATATATAGATGTGTGTTACGATTTTTAAATAAATTTTAGCTCATATTGGGTTTCCTATCTTTCTTTTTACCCAACAATCATGAGCAGTTTCCATATCATTAATATTATTTAAAAACATAATTTTGACTGGGCATGGTGGCTCATGCCTGTAATCACAGCACTTTGGGAAGCTGAGGTGGGAGGATCACTTGGGACCAGCCTGGGTAACATAGTGAGACCCTGTCTCTGCAAAAAAAAACAAATAAGAACGTGATTTTTTTTTTTTTTTCTTGAGATGGGAGTTTACTGTATTGCCCTGGCTGGTCTCAAACTCTTGGACTCAAGCAGTCCTCCTGCCTCAGTCTCCCAAGTAGCTGGGATTATAGGTGTGAGCCATTGAACCTGGATAAACCATAGCTGTAGAATTGATTTGGCTGTTTTCCTACTGGACATTTAGATGGTTTCCCATTTTTGGTTCAGAAATAATATTGTGATGAACATTTCTGTGTTGGAATAAGTTTGTTGGGTTACATGAGTCAAAGGAGTCATATATAGTAAGTACACAATGGTCATTTAATGTGAGGGTGCATCTTGGTACTGTCTTGGTGAGGTGAATAATTAAACCTTTCAGAATACTTAAAAGGGAGATCAAACACACAGTTTCCTTTTTAATACTGGTCAGGAAATCTCAGTTCTTGACTTGATTGTAACTTGTTTTGTGATTCCCCAAAAGCCATTCGGGGCTTTGATTTTCTTGCCTGACAGATGTTGAAACTGGACCAGATAATTTCAAAATGCCTTCCAGCTTTGAGAATCAGTGAATCTAATAATTGAAAACAATAAACAAACCCTTCTGGTTATTTGTAGTTGGTGATCTCTCACTAGCTTTCTGAGTATGTGTAGGTAGACAGAATTTTGAATGCCAGTGATATTGTAACCTAGTGTTTAGTATTGGGCCATCTCTATTATAAACACCTGAGGGACTTGTTAAACAAGTAGGTTCCTGGGCTCCACCTCAAGTACTAATTCAGTCTCTGAAGACAGAACTCAGGAATCTAAGTCTTTAACAAATATTCGTACATACATTGAAATTTGAGAAGCACTGTTTATAAGATGTAGCCATGTTTACAGGATGGAAAGCAAAATAGTCTTTTTGTTGTTGATATTTTATTTTTTTGTATTTGGGAAGCTAGAAGAGAGATACTTCACTTGTTATGAAAATGTTTACCATGTTCTGTTTTCTCTTTTGCATACTAACTAATTTTGTTTTCTAGATTTTTCTTCTGGTTCAAAGAAGGAAATGGCGTGATGGCCTTTGTTCCAAAACAGTGGAATATCATCGTCTAGACCAGAATGTTAATGAGGCAATGCCTTCTTTGAAGATTACCAATGATTATATTTTTTAAAGCACTGTGATTTGAGTTTGCTTATTATGTAATTTTATTTGCTTGACTTTTTATATGATATTGTGCAGATGTTTGCCATAGGCAATTGGTACTTAAATGAGAGGTGAGTCTCTCTTTTGCCTTGGTGCTTTGGAAATTAAATGTCACAAACAAGGAGTATATAATTTTCTATCTATACTTTTAGAGCTGAATTTAATCAGTTGTCCAAAATGTGAGTTAAGTATTATCTTATATTACATTGTTAGTTTTTATTGTTTTAGATTTATTGTACTTCTTCTGGAAGTATTAGTGATGCTACTTTTAAACGATCCCAAACTTCTAACTAAATTCTAACATATGAGATACTGCTGACTCAGATTTACTTTCTGCCACCCAAATACTATTTTTTAATCACACATTTCTTTGTGGCCCTAAACTGTAAAGTACAAGGATATAGAAACATAAGTGGAATTCAAAGAGGCGGAGTTCTACCGCTGAGGGACAACTGTAAGCCAGGCAGGTTAGATTCCTCCTAGACAGAACACTACCCTCTGTCACCACCCAAATGGCATTCTGAAATAAAACACACTTGTAAAATCATAGATTTTGCATTTAAGTAATGTCATAGATTTTGCATTTAAGTAATATTTTTCCTTCCAAGAAAACTGCTTTGGATATTTTTAGATAATTTAAACATAATTCATAATTTAAGATAATGAATGATATTGCTCAATCTGGCCACAATTTTAGGTAACACGTAAAATGTGTCAAGACAGGGAGACACCCCTTATCAACAAGGGTGCCTGAATGAAACATATTTGTATATCTAATCCTTAACTGTACCCCACAATATCAAAATAAAAAATATTGATTAATAAAAAAAAAAATGTGTCAAGAAATCTTGGCAATAGAGATTCTGCAGCTTGCAGTGGACACAGGTTAAATGTTATAGAGATATTATTTTTTTGTTTGAATTACTGAATTAAATTTAGAAGTAGAAACTGGTAAAATATTAAATACATGTACAATTGCTTTTAGTTAGCAATTGATTGTAGCATGGACTCCTTCAAGGTTTCAAGCAATGGGCAGAGATTAAAATTATATCAGATTTGATCACTTTGTTTATTATTTTATAGTAAGTTTAAATAAATCGTAGAGGCCATTATCACTTAAATAATATTGTATCTATGTCTTTCAAATTAAAATTATATCTGAATGGAGTTATTTGTATACATAAAGGACATATGTGTACAATAACATTTCCCCCCCATACTTGTTTTATTTTTTTTAAAACAGCAACTGGAAATTACTGTATTTCATTTCTGTCTTTTTATCATAAAGGTTGATCAGTATGTACATATGTGATTTGAACCATGGTTGACTTAGCAAGTGTCCCTACAACTTTCTAGAAAACAACCCTTAATATATGTTATCCAAGGCCCAGGTGCACTGGTAGGCGTGTGCCTATTGTAGAGATGGGCGAAGGGCCGTCCATCCTAAGTGGACAGTGTACTTTCCTAACATGGAAGGGAAGCACAATGGAAATACACCTGAACTGTTTTATTGCAGTAATTTTTTTCATATCTGAAATTGTATTATTTAATATTTTGAATAAGATTTTAAAAAATAAATGACAAAGGTATAAATCTATGATTTTACAAGTGTGTTTTATTTCAGAATGCCATTTGGGTGGTGACAGAGGGTAGTGTTCTGTCTGGGAGGAATCCAACCTGCCTGGCTTACAGTTGTCCCTGAGCGGTAGAACTCTGCCACTTTGAATTCCACTTATGCTTCCAAATTCTTCTTTATAGCCAATGTACTGCTAGGTGCTGAAGTTTATTGACAGCAATAGCAAAGTAGGATGGCAAAGCAAAGTAAAGCAGCTGAATACATGTGTTCTTTCTAGCATCCGGGTCCCTGTGGTCTGGGGTGGAAGGCTTCCTGGAAGATCATCTCCCTTAGTGGATCCAGGGTTCTTGGTTACTTCCTGGTGGCCCAGTCTTTGCCACCAGAGTCCCAGTGCTGCTATCAAGTAGCCTCAGACTGTTGGAGTGTCAGATCATATGTTAATTAAAATGCCGCTGGAGTCTTCCAAGACACCTGAGGCCCACAACACATGTCTTACTCACGTGTGGTGTTATATGCTTGCTTCTCCCCGACTTGCTTTCTGGACAGACCAGGAGCTGTGCACTAAATGTTGGCACTGATGGCCTATTAGGTTACTTTTTAGCACTTGTTTGTGTCTCTGCTGAAAAGGAATGTGTTGAAACTTGTGAGGCAGGTAGAAACAGACATCTAGTTTTTGCAGGCACGCATGTCTTACCTGGGTTTCTTGGTTTTATTTTTATTTTTTGTAGATGAGGTCTCACTGTGTTGCCTAGGCTGGTCTCGACCTCCTGGGAGCAGTCTTCCCACCTCAGCTCTCAAAGTGCTGAGATTATAGATGTGAGTCACCGTGCCCGGCTGGTTTCTTGATTTTTAGATGTGAACTCATGGTGAGTGTAAGCTCTTCTATAGAATGTGTGTAGTTTGCCCCACAGAGTGAGCTTCTTGAGGACAGGAACTGAGAAGGAGCTCTTCTCTGGTCCCTAACTCAGCACTGTGCCTGCTACCCACTAGGCCCCTTCTAATCGTTGCTCCATGAAGTATTTGAGAAATTAGATGAAAAAACCAAGACAACTCAGGCTCTGCACAACATCACATAGTCTGCATACGGTGGAATACTACTAACATCCTGGACACGTTACTGCTCATAGGGGCCAGAGATGGTGGTTCACACCTGTAATCCCAACATTTTGCAAAGCTGAGGCAGGAGGATTGCTTGAGCCCAGTAGTTCGAGACCAGCCTGGGCAACATAGCAAGACCTCATCTCTAGAAAAAATAAAAAAAATTCAGTTGGGTGTGGTGGTGCATCCCTGTAGTCCTAGCTACTGGGAAGGCTGAGGTAGAAGGATCACTTGAGCTCAGGAGGTCAAGGCTACAGTGAGCCACGATCATGCCACTGCACTTCAGCCTGGGCAACAGGGTGAGACGCAGTCTCAAACAAAACAAAACAAAACAAAACTGCATGTAAGGAAACAGAGGCAAGATGTGATGTGTCACCCTTATCTGCTCATCCATATTCCTATGCGAAGCTAAAGCCCATGCTAATTGTATGAGATGTCGCCCTTTCTCCAAATCCCATGTTCTGGTCAAACCAGGTGCTGCCTGACGAAGGTGGAGGAGAAAGTCACTGCTGGCACAGCTGCCACAGTGTTCCAGTTCCCCCTAGCTGTGTGTGGCTTTGCCCTTCTGCCTTCTTTCAGTCTGGTTTGATGACTTAAGTTTGCCCCCTCCCCATGTGTGTTCAGCATAAAGCAGTTCATCCTTCCCAGCAGAAATTCAAAAGATTAAAAGTATTCTCTTTGGGGGCTGGGTGTCCTCCAAGGTAACAGAAAAGAAGACTGTCCTGAGGCTTGTTTGACCAGACCCAGCACAGCCTGAGCCAGAATATAGGTGGTGGTGGTGATGGTGGTGGGGCTGGCTGTCTTCAATTAACTGGATTCTGTTTTTACTTTTGATGCAAGGAGGGGAAGTTGTTGGGTCAGACAGATTCCAGAAATGGAGCTGGACCATTTCTGACTCACATTTCATTAGCCCTTTATGGTGATGACCTGCTGTCTAGGCTGTTGAAGTGACTCAGAGCCTGATTTTGGAATGGTAAGCAGCAGGCATCTACCCCAGGACCTCTAAGTCTACCTCTCTTCCAGCTCCTTCCGAGTCCCAGACTTGTCTGCTACCATTAATGAGACTCTAGTTTTAAAATGCCCGGCTCCTTACTTAGGAAGACTTTCACCATCCATTACCCTAATATCTCTCAGACCCTATGCTTCTTTCTCTCACAACCTCAAAAACTGTCTCATTTCTCTGCTGGGAAACCCAGAGATGCTGTGTTCTGGGAATCTTCGACTTCCTGGGTACCTTTCCTCTTACAGGACCCTTTGCGCCTCTCTCCCCTTGGCATGCAAACTGGATGGCATTCCCACCTGAGTCCCTTCCAAGAAGGCAGTTCCTTGCAGTGGACCCCAGAATCATATAGGTCTAGTTGGATTCCCTCTCTGTTTTTGAGTCAGAGTCTCACTGTCACCCAGGCTGGAGTGCAGTGTGGCACACAGCCTCGACCTGCTGGGCTCAGGTGATCCTCCCACCTCAGCCTTCCAAGTAGCTGAAACCACAGGTGTGCACCACTATGCCCGGCTAATTTTTTGATATATTGTCGAGACAAGGTCTTGCCAAGTTGCCCAGGCTGGTCTTGAACCCCTGGGCTCAGGCAATACTTTTGCCTTGATCTCCCAAAGTGCTGGGATTATAGGCGTGAGCCACTGCGCCCAGTCATGGATTCCTTCTCTCAGAGTCCTCCCCAGGCCATTTTGCAGCCTCTAGGGAAAGGCCAAACATTTCTTGACTGTTCCTGGAGGGAAAGGTCAGAGCTCTCGAGGACTAACTTAAATGTCCTGGGCCTTGCTGGGACTGAGGTCATCCTGGCTCATGTTGCACCCATCTGGTTCTCTAGGAAGACAGACTTAGGGGGAAGTAGAGGGAAAGGAGGTGTGTGGGTTGAGGCCAGGGCTGGACAACCTTGGTTTGAGCTCTTTGTGTCTGTTGTAGCCTCCTACCTTGTAAGATGAGTGATTAGCTCTCAGGTCTGTTTGGAAGAGTAAACGGATTGACATTTGTAAAAGGACTTTGTGCACGGGAAAGAGTTTTTGCCTTGTCACTGACCACAGAAGAACCAGCTCAAGGCTTGGGCCCACCAAGCAGGGATAGCTCAGAGTTTCTGCTCAGGAGTGGGGCTTCCTTGAGGTACGCAGCTAAACAGAGGTGGGTTTATCTGGAACCATCCAGGCATATATGGTCCTGTTAGGTAACAGATGGGGCTTCTTTGGAGCCTCCTAACCCCATTTCCTGTTCTCCATCCTCATCCTTTCCCTGAAGCAAGGCCACAGGGTCCTTCCCATTACTCCCTGTGCTGTTCCCAAGAACAGAGAGGCAAGAGGCAAAGGGACCCAGGACCCCAGAGAGGTGGCTGCTTTTAGGCTACATGGCGTGCCTGAATCTCTCTTGGGAGCAAGGATGGAGGCGGGGCTCAGGCCGCAGAGGGCCACTCTGAGGTGTCACCTTCTGTTATCATCATGGTGTTGCATTAAAAGCAAAATACCCGAACTTCTTTTACGCAGGCCTTGTGGTGCGTGCTGGGATGACAGAGTGGGTCAAGACAGATGCTGTCTTTGCGCTTGTGGTCCCTGCGTCAGAGGGGAAAAATACCTAATGACAGTGAAGCGTGATGAATGCTGTAAGCTGAGAACTACATGTCACTTTTCCCTCCATAGAAAAGTAATTTAGACATTCCAATATCATGGTGGCAGCTAACACTTGGGGCTCACTACAGATCTAGCACTCACTGCGCTGTTTGCACCAAGCCAGGGAGGTAGTTACTGTTATCACCCCATTTTACAGATTGGGAGTCAGGAGCATTGAGAGTTCGAGCAACTTGCCAAGGTCATATGGCCGATAAGGCGCAATCTGTCTGCAGACCCCATGTTCTCTGTCCCCAATTCCCTGATGCTATTGAAAACAAGATGGCTACAGCAAGGTAAGAAAAAAAAAAATCTAAAGGTTTCACCACACTTAGGTCCTCAACCTTTGAGTGTGTTCTCATTTTCTTCCCTTTAAGATGTATTTTTTCATGAATGTAGCAAAACACGCTATAGAAAAACACATGAAATAAATGTACAGCTTAACAAATTATTACAAAACAAATACTTTCTCTACCTGCTGCCCAGGAGAGAAATAGAATTTTGCCAACACCCTAATCGTTACCCTCATCCTGTTCCACAGAGTGATCATTTTGACATTTGTGTTGTTTGCAGATATCTATATGTATATCTGGACTTAATATTATGTAGTTTAATAGCACTTAATTAGCATATGTAAAGTATTATAAATCTATAAACATTTTATTTTGAGAAGAATTATAGATTCACATGCAGTTGTCAGAAATAATACAGTGAGTCGGGTGCTGTAATCCCAGCACTTTGGAAGGCAGAAGCAAGAGGATTGCCTGAGCCCAGGGGATCGAATCAGCCTGGGCAACATGGTGAGACCTCGTCTCTACAATAAATCAAAAAATTAGCTGAACGTGTTGGTGTATGCCTGTAGTTCCAGCTACTTGGAAGGCTGAGGCAAAAGGACTGCCTGAGCCCAGCAGATCGAGGCTGCCGTGGCCGTGAGCATGCCACTGCACTCCAGCCTGGGTGACAGAGTGAGACTCTGACTCAAAAAATAAAATAAAAATAAAAAAGAGAAAGAATAAAGTGAACCAGGGGGGCTGAAGCTGTAAATCCTCATCTGAGTCTATAAGCCTGAGAACAGGAGTGCAAATATCGGAGGGCCTTGGAGAAGTTGAGCATCCCAGCTCAAGCACATTCACCCTTCTTCTGCCTTTTTGCTCTATTCGGGCACCAGGGAAATGAGTGATACCCACTTTCATTAGTAAAGCCAGATCTTCATGCAGATCACTTTACCCAGTTTCCTTCAATGATAATATTTTGCAAAACTGTTGTCTAATAGCACAACCAGAATACTGACATTGAAGATACAGAACATTCCC